TTTTTTTTTTTTTTTTTTTTTGGATACGTTCCTTGATTTCGCGTTGGCAAAAATTGCATGAAGATTGCTGTTCAGTCGCGAGCAAGTAGTGATTAAATGTAAACGCGATATAAAAAAGGCGAGTAGATATTAATTAGACTGGAGGTCGTAAAGATATAAATATCCACGGTCGAGTGGTTCTTTGAGCATTGAAGAATTAAATATTAGTATTTACAATAATTGATTAATTGAATGAACAGTCGCAGTTGGCGTAAATATTACGTAGAGTAGCTATAAAAATCGAGTAAGAATAAAAACAGTCGGTACAGTAAATGTCGCTGACAATGAATATAAATATCCACTACTATTACTATTATGTCTCGAATACATTTGTTTTTTATTATTTTATATTAATATGTTTTTTATATTTTTATATTATTATTTTATATTTTTATTATTTTATATTATTTTATATTATTATAATAACTTGTATATTGCTGAATTCGTTTTCAACAAAAAGAAAAAAGAAAATTCTTTGTGAACCGATGTTTTATTTTAATTGACGTTTATCTGCGACTGTCGAGAACGTTTGACAACATTTATCTCTGTTTCATCGTCTATTTAAAACTTCCTCGTAATCTCTCTCTTTTAATTACAAAATAACCTCGTCTTCGAAATTATGCAACAACAGTAACTAAAAAAATCGTTCTTCGTTCGTTCAATGTCAAATTAATTAATAAAGTACGAAATTTCACTTGTCTTGCAGACACGTGTCGAGCAGAAAATTCTCTTCGCATTTTTCAGTTTCGAAAATCACGAACGTCTTCTAGATCTTCGTTTGTCTATCGTTTTCAGGTTTCAAACGTTAAACAAGAACGAACGGCGAGTGCTCGCTTTTTAAACAGAAAATCGTTCCTCGATTTGAAAACCTTCAAACGCACGTATCGTTTCACCGAGTTGGTCCCTGTTTTGAAGCACATCGGAGAATCGCCATTTCGAATCTCTGTCACTTGCAGCGAAGATTTCCCGATGCAGAGTTTCAATGTAGAGTTTTATGTAGCCGCCGTTGTATCGAGAACGTTCGCTTACGTTCTCATCCTTTTCTTTACCTTTCCTCACACTCTTTCGCTGGAATCACGCAGCACGTGCTTCCAAAGTTAGAAAACGTTTGTGGAAACGTTTGCCCAAACGAAGTGTCCAAGATTGGAACTGTGGCTGCCGTTCTATCGCGTCTTATCTCGTTCTGCTATCCGGCAAGAGATACGTTTATTTCGAGATAATAAAAATTACAGCTTTACGAAACGACGCCGTCCTTCCGTTCGCCATTTCAAATTTCAAATAGGCAACTCTGTCTTATCGTTCGCCAGTGAATTCCAAGTAACTGCCACTTGAAACATTGTTGCTCGTTGCGAAAAGGGAACGGTGTATCTTCGAGCGTTGAGTTTGACTGTTGCTCGAAAGGGATTTACTCGTGAAATTTCACGTTTTTTTTCTTTCTTAAACGTTTGGTATTTTTATTTTCAGCTGTTTGAAGCTTGATTTTAAATTTAACTTGAAGCTTGAATTTTAATCGTTTATTTTTAATAATCAATAATGGAATTTAGTTTGATAAAATTGTTCAAAACAGCTCCGATCTGTTCACAAATTTTTTGTTTTCGATTTTTGTAATTCAATCATTTTTATTTCAGAGACAAAAAGTGCAAAGGATCGATGCTCTTTCGTTCACACTTTCCCGTTTATGTACTTTAATTTCGAGCTCTTGCTCCGTCGTGAAAGTTCCAAAAGCATCGCAAAAAGTATTATTTCACGAGAGCGTTTTTCATCCTCGCTATAATTCAACCGTTTCATTTACCCCATTGACAATCGAAACACCTCGTGCAGAGGTAATCTTCCTGTATATGCGCCGTTATAACCCAACGACCATCACAGAGAAGACAAGATAGAAGGGTTCCAGGAACCCTCGTCGTCAACTCGCTCTACGAGTCTCTCTGTTCAACGAGAACGAGCGTGTAGCCGTGGCGAAATCGACTGGAAAAATGGCGTGACCCGTTGAATTGCCACTACGATGCTTGAACTCTGATCAACCATTAACCACTCCATAGAAGCGGTCGGGAAAGGGAACAAAAAGAAAAGCAACGAAGAGAGAAAAGAGAGTAAGGTAGAAGGGAAACAAACGTGAGGTAAAAAAGAAAAAAAAAAAAAAAAAAGAAAACTGTAGAATACAGAGAACGAGACAGGATCGATAGAAAGGTAAACTGGAATGACAAAAAAAAAAAAGAAAAAAAAAAGTGAAAATGGAAGGAGATTGGAAAAAGAGGGGAAAAAGAGAACGTGGCGATGTGAATGAAATTTAATTGATAGAAGGGCGAGATGGTTGTTAGAAAATAGAAGGAAGAAAGTAAAATGCAACATGAATGAATGATAAATAGAAAGCGAGCCGTGGAAAACAGCGAGAGACAAAAGGGAGAAAATAGGAGAGCTGCAGAGCTCGAAGAATAGAAAAAAAAATACAGGGAAGGGAGATGGAGAAGGAGAAAAAGAGGTGAAAGAGGAAGAATGGAAGAGAAAAATGAAAGGTACGTGAAAGATGGTAGGATGGTTTGTCCCAGATCCTCCCATCTCGGTTTTGCCCTTCTCACCCTCTAACATTTTCAATGACGTCACGCCGCCGAAGAACGCGTGGGCGTCATTGAATGAACACGACGACCCGGGCGTTACGCTATACATATATATTCGTATAATGATTCACGTAGATACACTGTTGGGATAACATTGATTCAAAACGACGAAATATGTACGAATAATGCGCGAGTATTAATCGTTTTTACGTAATTTCATGCTTCCACGAATATGGTGGAATATAAATGCGGGAGAATAGAGTTGAAATAGAGGTGATTTCACCGGACGAACGAAATAAACGGGGAAAATTTCGATGAGAACGACGCGAGAAAACGTAAAATAAAGACTTTTTTTTTTTTTTGTTCTTTTTCGAGAAAACGGCGAGGAAATTGAATTTAAAAACATTTATCGTGAGAACTTACAACAAAGCCAATTCCCAACTAAATAAATCGAATTCCATTTGGGAACAAGCGTACAAAAATTCTGTACCAAATTTTCTGGCTCGCTTTCACGCGTCCACATATTTCGATTCACTTCGAAATTGAATTATTCGAAAGTACACTTTCGTTTCGATTTATTTCTGCGCGTACGTAGAACTACCCCTTAACGGCAGTTTTATCGCGATTATAGGAACACTCTGTATATCTGGAGCTAGTCGCGTTGGAGTTGGGATGGCGTACTTGCAGACACCCACGTCGTCGATTGTGCCAGGGACACAGAGAGAGAGAGAGAGAGAGAGAGGGAAAGGCTGGACCAACGAGGGCTGGTCGACAAGTAGTATCGATCTCGACGATGGTAGTCATGAACCCACGTCAAAGCACGAACCTTTCATTTTTGCGTGGTCGATGGATTCGGTGGCTGCGAAATACGAACGCGTTTTGACGTAGACTCTGCGTAGGTTACACAGCTTGGTTTTCACTTGTTGAACAGAGTTTGACTATCCATCACACGGGATAATGCGCGTTGCCGCATATATTGTGGAGGAAATACGTGTATGCGCACGTATGTATATGTATAAGCGTGCTTTTTAACTCATTCCGAATCAAATGATAATTTGTCACGACGACGGAAACCGATCCTAAGTGGAAATTTGTTAATTTATTTATTTTAATTACTTTGTACGTTTAATTACTACTTTGTAACTTGAAGATTTTGCAAAAACGCACGAACATTGACAGCCTAATTGTGAGTGTAAAGTCCCAGTTTTAAATGTATTACGTTTAGACAGCGTTTGATTTTAATTTCGTGTTTTTAATTAATTAATGATTTTCTGAATTGATATTTCCTTCTTTCGACGAAAGTTATAGCTAGGTAAATGTAGCTAATTGTTATAGTTTTTTACAGAATTCACATTGAACGCTGTCGACGATTTAATAGATCAGAGCTGGCTAACTGGGAAATCAACAGAGTGGGAGAGTGGACGCTCATGCACGGCAAAGAAATGCAGTGGAGGGGGGGGGGGGGTAGCGCTAGCGTTCAGAAAAGTAGGGGCAAGGGCCGCCAGTTAGCCTCGACTCTGTAATAGATAACAGATACAATTTCGAGTTATCATATACACAATATAACAATGTGAACTACATTACAGTTACTTTACAAGTTTAAAGAAAATTTCTTAAAATAAAAATCAATTTTTAGTGATTCCTTTTTAATCAATATAAATTGATTAAAACTGATATAGACGAAGCTTCATCAGTTTCTTCTTGTTTTTTTTCTTCGACAAAGACGAAAGCTAGTACGATTGTACGAATTTCAATCAGAAACACGTAAAACAAACCCTTTGTAAATTATGTATTATACACCAATAGAGAGATACGTGTCATTCACAATTAAGTCGACGTCTATATATATTAGCAGGGAATCACCGTGAAGCGTTATCACGAATCGATCAATCGCTCGCCCGAGAGATTAGACTGTGAATCGCTTCCAGGAAAGAAATATTACGCGAACTGTTAATTGCCACTTCTGTCGTGAGAACTCACGCGAATGAAAATTGATTTCAAATGAAATTTCGATTGAAGCAGAAGAAGCGACAGGCTGACGTCGCGCATCCGGAAGTGTTTTAATCATTAGTACTAGCGTTTCGTAACAACGTAACAAGAATATCAAAAATTGTAATTCATTGTATCTCTTAACAACGTACTATAACGTATCGCATTATAGTAGAATGTGAAAACGAAACGTTGATATAAAAAGTGACAATTAATAGTAAGCTTCACGTTAAAGTATTTATGTCTGACAGCGTGTGGGAATTGAATTAATTCATCGACGTGTCTTAGTTTTGTCATTTTTCAGCGTTTTCGTAGATGCATGGTCTCTCGAAATATCCGCGGTTTGAGAACGAATCACGGTACAAAGCAAACAAAGTACAAGAAAAGGTAGAGAGGAGGGGGACGACGACTGCGTTGCGCATCCGGAAGCGCCTCGATCGAGACGACGAGGAGAAGTAGCAGGTAGGCTACGGAACGGGGGTCAACGAATCGTTGGGACACGACGCAAGGCGAATGCACCGGTGGCTAGGCGCAGATGCAGACCATCGGTGCCACGGCCTCGTCCGCTACGTGAAATCCTAATGTTTCGCTTTCCTGCCGCGTTTGCGTTTCTCCGACCCACGACCGTCCTGTTTAATTAAATCCTCCTTAACCGGGGAGCCTCGGACGAGAAAGTTTGCAACGTTGAATCGCTCGTGATTTCGACGATCAACTGCCTCCGACGTTCTACGCTTTTTTTCTAGCATCTCTTCGTCTCTTGATTTTTTAAATATTTTTTTTTATTTTTTTTTCGTTTAGTTCGACTCGAATATCGACTTGCGCTGTAAGGATGATTACGGAAATTTTTGCGATTTGTTAGCAAATCGTCTATCAATTTCTCTTTGGATAATTTTTTTTTTTTTAACAGATTCTTCTTAATTGTGCGACGTTGTAAAGTATTATTTGCCGTAAATTGATTTTATGATTTTGATGTCACGATGTCAAGTTTTGATTTAGATGGATTTAGAGAATGATCTTTTAAACGGAATTTTTCAGATAAATTTCCTGCAGCTCTAGGCTACAGAGTGAATGGAAAAGTATCGTCGTTGGATTTCAATAAACTCGTACGTTTTACAGTTTGAATAAACAATACGACAGAAATAATTCTCTGAAATCATTTCTACACGCTTGTCGTTAGTTGAAACTGACTGATGCACCGAGGGCGATTAGAAAATTGGCATTACAAGGAAACAAAGATTCGTCTCCGGTGACAAAAAACTCCTCGAAAAATATTGTCTGTTGAATTGCAAATCAAGGTGGATTTCTCGGGGGCATTATCCGCACTTGATAAAATTCAATTATACTGTGCTCGTTTATTTTCCGCCACTCGCGAATGCATTACTCGCCGAGCACTACTTTTACTTCGCCTCTTGCCTCGCGAAGACTTTGTTCTTCCAAATTTACATCATCCCCGTGTGCCTAGCAACAAATTCTCTTCCGCGATCTTTTTTTTCTTTCTTCTTTTACTTTTCTAACTTTAGAAGTAATTAGAAGAAAGTGGGGAAAAAATTAATGGCAAACTGTTTGCAGCTGTTTGGCTGTAAATAATAACTGCGATGGTGTTACGAAGCGGCAATGCTGCAAATTTCGCTAAACGTACTCGGCGAGTTTGCCAAAGTCTGAATCACACTCGAGATTATTAGCAGTCTGCGAATGCATGGTCCGCGAATTTTGTCGGATATTGTAGATAAAGTGGATCGTATATTCTTCTCGGTATTGCATTTAGGAATCTCTCGGGCGGGAATGGAATAAAGATTCTTTATTAATAAAGAATATTAGTGTGAATATAGTTGGCTTTATTTATAGTAGAATTTTAGTATAGTAAAATTTAGCGTTATAAAAATGTTGTTATCAATAACAAATTCTTTTTTATGCACAGTTTGAAGCAATTTTACATAATTCTTTCCACAAACTTGAGTACAGAAGCTCCAATCGAATTTATGAATTTCAAGTATATTCTCAGCTATTTAATTCTAAGTTTCGGAAGATAATAAATTTTCGTCGATCGAATATAAAAATTACGCGCATTTTTCTACACAGTTCTAAATTTCGAGAATCAACGCAAATGTTATTTCAACGAACGAAAATGTAAAAAAATTCGATCTAAGTAAATCCAAGTTTCACAAAGCCGTATATTTTCGATTGACGAATATGAAAATATTGAGTAATTCTGAATTAAAAGAGAGAGGGAGAATGAAATAAAATCTTAATAAAATTGAAGAGAACAGCGCACGAAGAGATTAATGTGAAACGAAACATTGATTCCTACACCGAGAGTGATATCGGTTTTTTCGTAATTATCATGTGGCTCGAATCGACGATTCGTTTTTTTTTTTTCTTTATAAAAGAGAAAGAGAGAGAAAAAAAACAAATCTCTCGTGGTTCTCGTTGCGCAGTCGCGATCGACATTCGTGCCAAGCTCTGTGATCCACGATGCAACGAGAATTGAAACGATCGCGAACCGGAACGTATCATTTTCATCGACGTCTGATTACTGACTCCACCAACGCGTCGCTTTTCCATGTTTCTCGTTTTCTCCTATCAGCTCCTCCTGGCACATTTTTATCGCCACCCCCTGTTCACCCCCCATCGGTATCATAACTTCGCTGTCACATCCTTTGGAGTTTCGAAAACACGTTCGTGAAAATTAAAAGTGGAACGTCTTGCTCTCTAGAATAGATCACTTCTGTAATTTGGATTTTAATTTGCAGTTCAATTCAATAGTTGTCTTCACGATCGATTTGGATAATTAGTTTGAATGAATTTTAATCGGTCTTAATAAAAATTAAATTTGTACGGATTTATAGTGTAAGAATTTATCGATCTTGATAGAGGGATAAAAATCATTTTCCTATCGGTGAGAAAAAGAAAAAAAAAGGAAATTTTGGTCCAGTATGATTCCATATAAATATGAAAATGCATAAATTAAAAGCAAATTATTAATTTAGCGTTATATATTTTAAAAGTATATATATTTTAGTTATCATATATTATATAAAGTTATATATTTTAAAAGTATATATATTTTTAGTTATCATATATTTTAAAGTTATATTTTAGTTATCATATATTTTAAAGCTATATATATTTTAAATTTATATATATCTTAGTTATTATATATTTTAAAGCTATATATATTTTTAGTTATCATATATTTTAAAGTTATATATTTTCGTATTTATGACACACGTTTTCTATCAATTTAAGACTCTCTTTTTAATTTCACATCACTGAAAATTGAGAGATCGACATTTAAAATCCAGAAGTAGAAAATTCCGTCATACATACACAACGCGTAATCTAATAGCAATAGTTTTCCATCAAGAAAATGAAAATGAAAATTTCTAGATAACAGTTATTAGAGAGATAAAAATTTAAAAATATGACAACGTATTTTTCATCGATGATAAATAATCCCCCCTACAGAGAGCAAAGTCTCGAATCAAATCGAATTCCCTCGAGGGGAGAGAATCGCTCGACGGTTTGTCTTGTTTCGACAAATATATTTCTTTCTTCTCTCTCTTCCTTCTCGAGCGGCCACGACTTCCGAGTGGAACGAAGGAAATGAGAATTCGCTTTGTAATGGAAAAATGGAGCACGCTTGCGAACGAAGTTGAACGTCGCTTCTTTGATGATCGAGCGGCACAGACCGGCGAGATATAAGCGGACTTGGTATACTGTTAAACTGGGGAATTATAACCGCAATAAACCTTTCATAGCGAACCGGTTGCTTTGGGATTTCGCTCGAGGGCGATCAGAATCGAGATTAATGCATTAACTTGTTCTTTGCATCACTTGTGTGACCGATGAAAAGTGATCTGTTTTATATTATATTAGAGAGGGAAAACCTGTTGAATTGTCGGTGTGTTGCTTTTGATATTTGTCAGATTTTGGGATAGCTCGATTTGTTACAGTTAGAGGAGAATAAAATTATAACAATAATTAACAACAGAATTACCAAGGACTTAAATAATAGAATTTTCGTCAAAGATATTAAAAAAAAAAAAAAAGAAAAACTATGAAGTACAATGGAATACACGAGTCTTTATGTATTTGGTAAAAAGTCATTTAATTTTTTAGAAATACATTGTGTTACGTCTGTAATATATCCAAAATAAGCAAAAATTATGAATCTGTCATTTGACCTCGGCAGTTCTAGCGTTGAGACATAAAATTTCTCTCATGTTTGACAAGAAAGTTTTGAAAATAACGAATTCTCTGGTAATGCAACAATCAAGATCCAAATTTATCCGTAGTTTTCACAAACAAATGATTATCATAATTATAATTCCGATTTTTGAATTGATCCAGCTCACCGTAAAAGATTGATTATGCGAATATTTGTTCACTCATCGATGTTTCTTAGCAAATCTCTAAACGTCGCTTTGGCGAAAAAGTAATTGCATTCTTTTTTTTCTTTCTAACAGATGAACATGCATATATTTCTTAAAATGTGACTAACTTCCTGATTGTTTTAGAAAAAGAGAATGCACGATTTCGTTTATTTTGTTCATTTCCTTGGATTTCAAAATGAAAATGAAAATTTCAATCGCACTTTGCTGTATTATTCTCTTATAAAAAAGAAAACAATTATCCGATGTGGCCTTTGAAACTGTTAACTATTAATTATCAAAATTGGTAAAATTTCTACCGACGAGGGTGTATCAAATCAAGTTCTTGGGACTTTTCTTTCTTGTCGAAGAAGGTAGGAACGAGGTTGCCTGAAATGGTCAAAATACATTGTCCAATAAAGTTTTCGTTTCTCACGAAAGATTCGTCTTTCATTCGCACACACGTGAAAAGACCAATCTAACGTAACAGATTTGTGTGCGAAACGTCAAAGTACTAACTTGGTTCTCTTCGACATATTTCTTATTAATGCAAAGATCCGAAGCTACGATCTAGTAATTTCCTGCGAAGGAAGGACGGAATAATATTGGCCAGGTAGAGCAATGCGGTAAGGAGAATGTAGGCCAACAAATGGCGCTCTATGCAACCGTACGTCAACGACGAATCACTAGGTTTAAATTCTTCAACGCATTGATCCGCGATCAATTATTTATCAATCCTTTGACAGTCATATCTATAGGTTTGGAACACACGTTCCTCTCCAACGGTCTTTCGCGTAGGTTCATCGATCCGAGAGCTACCGCTGTGCTCGTGTTTTCATACCGTTTCGCCCCAATTTGGTAAAAATCCTCGCGCGTGAAACTTGGAGGTTAATCACTTACTTTTCGGAACTGAACTGCCAACTCGCTCACGCTATTTTTAGATAATACTCGTTTCTGGGTGTTTCCAAAATCGCGGAGGTCAGAATCTAGTCAGAAGTCGAGAAGAAGGAGTAAATTCGTTTTTTACTTGATCTTTGAAGGCTTCGTTTTTTGGGACGATTGAATTTGAAAATTTACTAATTCTGGACTAAATACTTGAATTTAATCAATTTTATTAATGACGAAAATCTAGAAGTGATAGAAAAAAATAATTAATAGGAGAATGTTCTATATTTGAAAATATGTAAAAAGTGTGGCGAACTTCGCAAATTCTTGAATTTTTCATAAACGCGTAGAACTATATATATATATATATATATATATATAGAAAATATAATAGAAAATACAAATAAAAATATCCAAAAGTATTGCTTAAGGGTAATATACAATAAAACCCTGTCATTTCAAACAACAGTGTTCGCGAAAAGTATCCAATAGGTCTAA